AAGAAGAAGCATCTAACTACCCTTCCAAATGTGGTGCAAAGGCATTACACAGGGAGGTACAGGATACCTCCTTCTGGAACATTGCTAAAAGGAATCACATTGGCAAAACTGTAGTTTCATCAGCATAAGCCACGTTCTGGATTCTGGCCCTCATGATATCCTTGTAGACCATGTCTCTGGGATGGCATTTGGGAGAATGGCGTTGCAGCGGATCCAATTTATTTGGAAGGGAAGGTCCAGAAGGTAAGAGATTTCACTTGTAACACTCCCTGTCTGGCATTTGAGGTGCTTCAAAGCTCTATCTTGTCCCTTCACTCTTTAAATTGTAGAGTTTTCCAGACATTGAAGCTAAACCAAACTTCCCCAATGTTGGTGATTTCCAGATGTTTTGAGCGCAATTCCCATTAGCCCCAGCTTTCATGTCCAGTATTCAGGCTTAGGAGAAACCCATGAACAGGACATAAAAGTAATACCGTAATACTCATCTACTCATGTTCTCCGGAAACTTTATGTATACTGCTGCTGCTGATTCCTAAACTGGAATAGAGAATCTATGCACTACATATCAGACTGGCATATTTGGATAATAGCAAGTTTAGCATCTCAAGAAGTGAACAGGGTAACTAACTCTGAATTTGTAAACAGTGCGCCTAAATTTCTTTCTTGTTGCATGGCCCATCCCCTGCACACAGGCAGCTACTTAGGGCCTTTGCAGACTGCCAGAAATAGTGCAAATTGAGTCCGCTTTAAGGGTTAGGGTTAGGGAATCATGGGAACTGTATTTTATTGTGGCACCAGAGCTCTCTGACAGAGAAGGTTCAATGTCTCAGAAAAAAACAACAATTCCCATGACTCCTTAGCACTAACCCTAACCCTTAAAGTGGACTCAATTTGCACTATTTCTGGCAGTCTGCAAACTCCCTTTGTTGTGCCTCCCTCCAGTCCTGCCTTACTGCTAAGTGAATAATGGAAGTCTGCTCTCTTATTGCCTGGGACATTAAAGCTACCTCTAATGTGTTAATCAGAAGCAGGATCTCTGTTGCAATTCACCAGAGATCACTCACAGGAGCTGCATCCTGACTGACAGGAGAACAGACCTCCATCACTGGCAATGGCTGTTGCCCAGGAAGGTAGAACTTGGGGGCTTTTATGATGCCTAAGTATTCCCTACACTGTTGAATACAGAGGTACCATGAATACGAATCAGTTCCAGGTGTATAACTTGCATTCACAACCACGATCGTGAATTCCAGACAATACTTCTCCCCATACTTTAATTTCACATCCGCTTTCTAGCTATTAGCAAAGGAGACAAGAGAGCGCCACTTACTTCTCCAGCTTCTTGCAGACAGACTCACGGCTCTGATCCAGCAACTTCCTCTTGCAGTTGAACTGGTCACCGCTGAATCTGGCTTCTCTGTTCGACACCTTAAAGCACCCAGGGGAGATGAGGAAGCCATCCCTCTCCTTGAAGTTATTGATGGTCGCCAGGTCGTTGCGAACGCTGCTTTTGACCGCCTTGTGGCCCTGCCTCATATGCCGAAGCACAGCCATGGCGGCACAGGCAGCAAGCACCAGGGTCATGAGCCCCAGAGTGAAGGAAACGGCCAGAGCGACGGGGAAAGGGCCGTCGGCCACCCGCTGGCTGCTCACAGGGGTCGGGACCTGAACTTTGAACTCACAGTTGGAGCCCATGTAGCCCGCTGAACACTCGCAGACGTGGCCGGAGAAGTGGGTATAGCAAGTACCGCTGTTCAAGCAGGGATTGGAGCCACAGGCATCCATGCGGGCGCTGCAGTCCTTCCCGCCGTAGCCCAGGGTGCAAGAACAGGTGTAGCTGTTTGGACCGTCGATGCAGGTGCCACCGTTGGCACACGGGTTGCCCGCACAGTCATCGATGTTCAACTCACAGCGAGAGCCGACAAAGCCTGGGCGGCATTTGCAGATTACGCTACGGCCCAGGTCCAAACAGTGGCCACCTGGAAAAGGAAGGAAAGAAAGTTACACCGGACGGTCCGCAGACTCTTGGGCACTCCATCATCTCATTTCTGGTCATCTCCAGCAAAGAAGCAACCAGGCAGGAAGGCTTTTGTAAACTAGAAAACAGATGCTTCATTGTTTCTACACCTTGCTAACTATTTAGACTAAAACGTTATCAGAGGATGAGGCAAGCAGAAAACATTCATCCATCACATCTTAAAGACAAGGAGCATACTTACCTAGTTTTAAAAAGAGAATCCTGGGCATTCTTGTTTTGTGAGGGAGTAGATAGGGATCTCTGAAGGACAATTCTGAGTACCTGAAAATACTTTTCTCAGGATTCTTTGCAGGAAGGCTTGACACAGTTAGAATAGCAAAGCATTTACACCTAAGTTGGACACAATGCAATACAACATGGTAGAGCAGATGGAATAGTCAAAATAATCCTAGACCTAAACCAGAGCTGAAACATGATGGCTGAGCTCTTGCTTCAGAAGATGTAGCCATGGAAAGGTAGGATTTAGGAGGACTTTCGACTGCATGCACAATGGCCATAAAAGCGAATTCTGATGTAGGACAGATTTAGAATATTGTAATTGTCAAAAGAGGATGCAATTCTATTTTTTTCCAAAAAGTAATGTTAGTCATTACTTGTTTACCAATAACATGTTACTTACGTTAAAACACACACACTTTAAAAAGTTGAAAAATCCCACAAGTAACATTTTAGGAATAGGAACTAAATGTTGCTTGTTAAACTAAAACAACAATATCACCAGCCATTGCAGTTTACCCAATATAATGTCCTTATTAAAATATAATGTCTCCCAGTGATATGTTACAGGAAATGTCATTACTTGTCAGGCATTACTTGTCCTAGCTCTGGTTGCCATAATGTGCTAGGATTGCAAAGGGTCAGAATACCAGGGTGCTCCATAAAGCAGGATGTGGTGCAACAATTTCCCCTCCTTTCTTCTGTTATGCACATATTATGAATTGAACAGCTACTTGACTCCATTCAGTGGTAGGCATGGCATCTGGGAAATCTGCCATGGCTTCTGCTGAATGGAGCCAAGAAGATGGACAGCACAAGGTAGGAGAGGCTGCAGCAGTTTGCTTTTGCCTGAGAGTACTGGGAAGGGTATGATGGCCCTCTCCTGGCCTCTCCTGCCTGTTGAATGGAGTGCAAACAACTTTTGAATTTGGACTTCAGTTTGTAATAATTGAAATGAGCTGAGGAGGAAGGAGGAAGAGAGAGAAACTGGGACATTTTAAAAAACAGTTGAAAAAGTGGGATGACAGAGGATTAAATGGGAGTGTCCCTGACAAATCAGGACAGTTGGAGGGTTATGTGATTTAGTATCAGAGACGTAGCGAAGACAAATTGCTCCTCTTCGAGGCCTCTGTGTACATCAAAGAAAAAGCAGGATAAGAATGTGTTCAATATTTATGTCCATTCTCCAGGGAGGGAGGTTGTCTTTATAAAATATGAAGTTAAAGAAAACTTTTGCCATCTGTTTTTATGGTCGCTTCTTGTATTATGTGGGTGAGACAGTAGTAATATGTCCTGCTTTTTAAAACTTCCAGCATTATATTCCTCCAGCAGCTAGCCGGACAAGTCCTTTTTATATTGTGAATGTGTCTGCATATGGGGCACGCTAACTGAAAGGATGAGCCTTTTTGCTTCAGAATTCTTTTCAAACGCTGAGCTCCTTTTTTATGGCATTTCTTTTAGGCTGCTTTTGCAGAGACATGATCAATGAAATGCTCTTTTCATGCCGGTTGCTATAGCTGCTTTTAATGTTTCTGTGGAGTAGATATTATCTTCTTTCCCAACTGTCTTTGCTCTCTTGATCTGGGTTTGGGTACATTCAGATTGCTTTGACATCTTGATGGCATTGTGAAAAGTGTAATCCTCTGTTAGCAAAAAGCCCTTTGTTTAAAAATCTCCAAATTGTACTTATCACTAGATTTCTTTTTCAGTCCATTCATATACAGTTCTAGTAATTACTTAGAGGTTGATTCAGTCTTTTGTCCAGTTGGATACAAGCAGGTCTTCTCATAAGTCCTATTCCTTATGAAGATGAAATAGGCTTCAGACTCGTAATGGTGCTTATAACCTGCTTCAGTAGGAGTGCAAGATAGATATAGAATCGTAGAGCTCTTCCATGATGCTGAACTATCATCCGACCATGATACTTAATTATCACCAGACCATAATGCTAGATTATGAAACCCAAAGTCTTCTGGCACAGGGAATGGTGCCATTTCCTTTGCTCTTTTGAGAATTTGTGATTAAAACCTTTACGTCTGACACCAAGTCGCAGAAGTCTTAAGGAAATAGTTATCAACTGGGGAAGAGGATCAGATATTGTTGGACTTTGGTTCAGGGAAAATCAATGGTTAGGAATTTTGGGAGTTGCAGTCCAACAAAATCTGAGGATGCCAGCCACAGATGCAGGCAAAATGTCAGGAATACATTCTTCTAGAACACAGCCTCACAGCCCAAAAAATCCACAAAAACCTATAAAAATCTGGTTTTCCTGGTTGAGAACCACTGGATTAGAGCAGTGCTATTCAAAGTGGTGATCTGTAGACTGGTGAGTTTCCTTTGCAATTCATCTTTCCTTCTATTCTTTATATATACTCTTTTTTCTTTTCACTTCTTCCTTGAGTTT